CACCGGGTGCAATCGCGGCGGATGCCTTTTCTCGCAAAGTTTCCTCACGTGCGCAAAGTTTCGTTTTGAAACTCTCGGCACCGGCTATAGTCTTTGAGCGATATTAGGATGTTGCCAACTCCCTAAACCCCTAGCATCCAACAGACCGAAAATCCCAGCCTCAAAATCTTAACCCTATAAATTTCCCATACCTAACAACACGGATCACTAAACCCTTTAACCCCAAGCCTTTCAATGATGAAACTCGAAACGGTGCCTCAGCTGTGCCTGGCAAAGGCATGGCAGCTGGTTGAGACATGGAGGTTACTGGGATTCAGGGCCTGAGGCTTAGGCATTCTGGGTGCATAGCACTAGTCATTACAGTAGCGCCAACCAGCTTCAATAAAAGTGGAAGCAGGATAACAACCCAAGACCCGAGGCCTTATTCTACTTTTTCCTACTCCCGAGGTCCTCGGTATTGCTGCAGACTGCTGGGGGAAGTTGGGGGTGGACAGCTAGGGTTATGTAAATAGTGCAGCGCGCTCTGGTCAGGAGTTTGGATCAGCGTGTGTGGTTTTCTAATTCACTTTGGCGCTGCACAAAGTGTATCTACCTAGGTTTGAGGGTTCGGGGTTTGACGTCAGGGGTTCGGAGGATTCGCGGTGTGAGGCAGGAGTTTGAAGTCACGATCCTCAGAAAAAGCACCACTCGCCAATACTCATAAGGAACCCTATACATACGTTGATCATCAGCCCCCCTCCCCCCCAAGTTACGGAAAATACCCTTTATCAAAGCTCCGGCGAGAGGTACTTCAACAACTTAGTGAACCCTTTCGGCTTCGCCCCGACCCAAACGAACATGCAATGTGAGAACACGGATCTTGCAGACTCCTATCCTGGTCAGAGCTCCATGTTAGCTAGGGAGAGGGTGGAGGGCCTGAACCCCCATACACTCTAAGACCAAGATCCAATCAATATAGCCCTGTAGCCACCACTAAACCCTACGGAATGCCCAGGGGTTCAGAATTAGGCTTTGTTTTTTGAAATCCCATCAGCACATTTATGCTGGGTTCTTCCCACTTCGAAGAATTTGACAGGTCTCGCAAGACTGCCCAAAATTCGCATTGAATGACCCCAGATACAACTGTATGGCAGCCATAGGATAACTTGAGGGACCTGAAGCCCTGAACCTTACAGTAACCCTATAGAGCCTAAACCCTAAACCTCAGATCACGTTTCCAAGAGGCCCCAAACCCTCAGGATTGATCCTAAATCCTGGAGTGCAAGGCGAAGATCTGCAATCTAGCCCCCTAAACGCTAAACCCTATGGCACCCTCCCGATATGTACATCTCCCAACCCCAGGACCTGCACTATCTTGGAGATCCTACATGGTCATAGGGGTTCGGATTTAGGGCTTAGGGTTTAGGGCTAAACTATGAACCCTTCCTGCGCGGACCGCACTTTTTTCCCCGCAAGCTCTTGTCACGGCCCCTCCATGCTTCGAAGCCCAATCCGAAGCATACCTGGACGTTTACTAAATCCCTTTACGCTGATAACAGCGGTCAGAATTAGCATCTTATCAGTTCTCACGCTTAGTAACTACAGGCACGAAGGCGCAACTATGGCATGCGCGGGTTTGAGACTTATTGTCAGAAATACAAACCCTTGAGCCAATTCCATATCAGTACCACCCTTTACCCCTGAACCTGAACCCTGAAGCCCAACAGCATTAATCTACCAGGAAACTATAAACTCCACCATATACACGCATTCAGAGAACATGCTCCGCACCCCCCAAGATCCTAAACCCAAATCTTAAGCCCTGAGGTTGAAGCCTGATGAAAAACCTAGGCACCCAAAAGCATTGAGCCCTGCACTCGAAACCCTAGAGCCTCAACCCTACATCCTAAAGCCTCAACCCCAAATCCTAAACCCTCAACCCTAAGCCCTAAACCCTAGATCCTAAGCCCAAAATGCTAGGCCCTAAACTCTAAACCCTAAACCCTGAACAGTAGTTTCCATTTTCTTTTCCATTATCCCTATATAACCCCAATGTTCCCTATAAAGCCCTATTATAATGTAAACCCAAAGCCCAGCTGCCACATGCCCATCTTCCAGGATTGCACACGTATGCGCTGAACCAGCAGACACTGCCACAACAGGTCCCAGGTCTTCCGGGACGTGGCACCTCACAGGTAAGGTTTAGGGTTTTAGGGTTTAGGGTTTAGGATTCAGGTTTACATTGGGGTCATATTAGGGGTATATATCGGGGTCATATTGGGATAATGGAAAATAAAATCGAAACTACTAATTTACGCTTTAGGGTTTACCTGTAGCCCCAATTGCCTACGGGTTAGTAGTGATTATCGACTATACAATAGGTGTAACCCCTAAAACTGTAGGTAATTGGGGTTACAGTTAGGGCTGTTGAGATACATGGGGTTAAGAGTAAAAGCTTAGGATCTAGAGCTTCGGGCTTGGGCAGAAAGCTATAGGGTTTGGGTCTAGGGTTTGGGGTCCAAGGTAACCATAACCCTAAACCCTATATTATACCCCAATATAGTCTTAGCCCACATTACCCTAGGAAGAAAAAACGATCCTTTTTACATAAATCTAAGGAATCTCATACCCCAAAAAATATAAAGGCTTCCTAACATTGATCCAGTAGTAACTGAACATGAAGTTCCTTAAACCCTAAACCCTAAAACCTAAAACCCTAAACCCTAAACCCTATACCCCAACATAGTAACTGAACATGAAGTTCCTTACACCTTAAACCCAAAAGCTGAAGCGCTCCAGGTTTAGGGCCAGGGCTAAAGCGGAGCTGGTGGAGGAATCCAAAAATGGTCCAAGGGACCAGATCCTGTAGGGTTTAGGGTTTAGGGTTTAGGGTTTTTAGGGTTTAGGGTTTTTAGGGTTTAGGGTTTAGGGTTTTTAGGGTTTGGGGTTTAGGCTACCGGAATCCCGCGCCACCATTTATCTGAGATCTTGGGTCCTATCACACCTTATCTGGGACATCCAGCTCAGCAATGGTTCCAGGGGGGCTCGGGGTGTATCTGCAGATTGTTGGTAGATCTGGACGAACGTAGGTCTGAAGGGTTTGAGGTGTGAAGATTCACGTCTTTGAGATTTGAGAGGCATTGAAGCTTTCAGGTCTTATAGTACACGCAGACCCTAAACCTCAAAACCGAAAGCCCGAACTCTGAATCCCTAAATCCTGCCCCAAATCATAGACTTGATCTGGTACACGTACCGCGAGCTACCTTATACAAGTTGCATATACGTATCATGATATATCCGCACGCCATCCCCCAATAAAGCCCCCCTTTATTGTCATCACATAGTCTCCCTCAACCCTAAACCCTGAAGAGTCTTCCCCCCAAACCCTGAACCCTAAGCCCTGAACCCAAAACCCTAACCCCTGAACCCTAAACCCTGAACCCTAAACCCTGAATCCTAAGCCCGGAACCCTTAACCCTGAACCCGAAACCCTCAAGCCAATATATACTTACCATTAATTACTTAGGGTACCCAAATTTCCTTAATTCCAATATTTCAAAAGCAGAAATCCGCCCCAAATCCTAAGCAATGGCAATAAACCCTGAACCCCAAACTCTAAACCCTAAACCCTAAACCAAATCCCTTGTTTTCCCCCTCCCCTGAAGAAGCCCTGGACTTGATGCGTTCAGGCACTGGCCGGCTTGGTTTCTTCCGAAGCAAACCTGGGTCATTGGTTGGGTTCTGGGTTTAGGGGTTTACGGTTTAGGGTTTAGGGTGTAGGGTTTAGGGGGAACCCCCACCCCCTAATAGGGGTACTATAGGAATATACAGGGAGCCGAATATAATTACCACTATCTCCTTTGGCCAGTATTAGTGGTTGGGGTCTTCAACCTAATTATCTGGCTTTAAAGGGTGACGTGGAGGCACTGAAAAGGAGTATACACGCATTATGTAGCGATTGTATAGTAATAGGGGTAGATCGGATAATTTCTCCGCAAATATGTACACACACATATATATATATATATAAGCAGATAGAGCCATAGAGGGTCATGAGGATGAGGGTTGGGGTGTTGGAAACGGAGGATTTGTGATTTGGATTCAGGGTTCAGAGCTTAGGAGTTAGTTCCAGGATTAGGCTCGCAGGTGCTTAGGGGTTTAAGGTTTATGGTCTCGAGGACAGGTACACTTCCAACAAAGTCGAAGAAGCCAGCCGGCCACTTGAAAGAACCGCGCAGGTGTGACCGGCTCCTTTCACGGTGCAGGGTTCAGGGTTTTAATGTTGGAGGTTTGAGGGTTTAGATGTCAGGATTAAGGGCTTATGGTTTTGAGTCAAGGTCCAGGGTTGAAGTGTTAGGGGTGTAGGTGCTTCATGAAGCGAAGATGAGGGTTGAGCCGGGCGCCCTGGCCCTAAGGACGAAAAAGGACTTGTTTCGTCCCTCTTTGGGATATAGTTACGCATCCCATGTGCATTGGGATCAGTGCCTGGTGACCCGTGAAGGGTCTTGAACTTAGGGGGGGTTTTAGCATGCCGGGTTTGGCTGGAGCCCACAGATAAGTTTCCTCGCTCCTGAATATCTTAAGGGTCATTCGAAGTAGGATCCCAGCAGGGTTCAAGGATTGGCAAAACCTGAAACTATCATAGAAGCAAACAAGGGGCCCTTCAAAACTAAGGACCGCTAAATGGGGGTTATATCAATGTCCATCGTATTTTGCGGAAGATATAGGCAGTAAGGCCTACGCTTCTGGCGCTTCATGACTCAAGAACTCATCAGCATGGGAACTTCGACTAACGACTTCCCTTTGTTGTTTTGACAATGTAAGCGCCCTAAACCTGAAACCAGCAAACTCTCAGGCTTAACAAAACCCTATTCATCCTGTTCCCTAAACTCGGAACTGAAGCCTATACATCCCAACAACCCGTTTTTGCTGCAATAAATCCCAATCATATCCATGTAAAACAGTAAGCCCTTAACTTAACCCTATACCCCGCCCTTTTTCCAAGCGTAAGAACCCCTGGCCTGCCGAGACTGAGACCGCAAGCCCAAGGTCTGCTGGTACGTCGCACTGTCCGTCACCTGCTCTCCCAAAGCATTGCACCTGACAGGGTCTTTTTTTGTCAAGGGGAAGGCTTAGGGATTCAGGGGTTGCAGGGTGTGTACTTGTGCGGAGGACCCAATCTTCAGGAACTGCCCACTTGAACATGAGCTCCAGTCAATATTTCTTCCTTGTGGACATGGGTTCCTCGTTAGGGACTATATTATATTAGGGACTGGTAGAAACTGTCAAAAGTCCCTTATAAGAAAATACTCAGGGTAGCTCACATGTCAAAGACGAGAGCTGCCTTGCTGTCGGCACCCAACGTGCATGTGTGGTAGTCTCCGGCCGAGACAGCTACCACCTGTCCCACACTTTCGTGAGAATGCGTCTGCTCCGCGTCCCCAAAACAAAATAAACGCCCGTCAGCTCGGATCGCGCACGTATGTTGAACCCCCGCAGAGACGGCGACCACAGGCCCACAATCCGGCGGCACGTTACAAAAGAGGCGGAGGCCGAAGCAAACAAGTTCCCCAACCTGTGGAACGACACATGAAGCAACAGCAAGAACATCTCCGTGTTTTCTGTTCGGAATGTGGCAAATTCAAAAACGTCAATCTAAAGCTGAGCCAGCAGCGATCGTCACTGCGCAAGTGTGGCTGAGTCCCACGGATACTGCGGCAACAGGCCCCAAGTCACCGGGAACGTCGCATTGTCCATGATCGTTCCAGCCAATGCAGCTGAGCTTCCCATCAGCCTCGGATTTAGGATTGAGAGTCTTAGGGCTTCAGAAACGTACTTCATTCGGCCTTAAGCAGAGTGTGTTATAGAGGGACTCAGGTTTCCCTAAACCCCGAGTCCTGATCCTCGATAGAACCAAGTCCCCAAGCCCATCCCACCTATACATCCCTACTCCCTAAACCCTGAACTAGAGCCTCTACATCCCTACAACGCCCATTTAATTTAAATCTGTAAGAACCCCCGATCATATTGTCATATCCATTTACACAGTAAGCCCTCAACTGAACCCTATTCCCCACCCTTTGCAAGGCAGAAGAACGCCTGGCCTGCCGAGACCGAGACCGCAACCCCAAGGTCTGCGGGTACGTCGCACTGCCCCCTCAACCCACAGTAACTCCCGCAGCATGGAGGAACTATCTCCCTAGACGCTCTTTACCCTACACCCTTAGCCCACCATGCCTAAACGTTACATGCACTCTAAAAATCCCAATACGACGCTGTTCAAGGGTTCCCCTTGACGCTACGCTCTTCTAGAACTTCTATCGCCCCAAGCCAGCCTGCACAAAGCAGCTGTGCTTGTCACCAGTTGAGACCGCCACCACGGACGGCAGATTCTCGGGTATGTCCCCTGCTTTGCGAATGCCAAGCCTCAGGTTTCAGGAAAAATGGGTTGGGGCTTGGGGTCGATAGGGTTTACGGTTCAAGGTTTAGGATTGATGGGCTGTGATTTGCTTTACGGTTTAGGGTTTAGGATGCCAAGCCTCGGGCGTCAGCTTAGTTGCTGGTGTTTAAACGGGACGGAGGTGCGGATCCCCTTAGCACCACATTCATCTATCAAAGTGCTTGTAAGAGACTACCGGAATATCTCTATAAAACTGCTATCATCCATATTATACTGACCCTCTCCCCCACTCCCCCTCAAACACTGGCAGCTCATGCGCTCTGTAGGGACAATGTTGGGTTGCAAGATGGATATACTGGTGTTGCAGCATATGTGCATATATACATATACTGCAGTATATATATATATATATGTATAGGGGAGATTCCCTAAATTAGGGGTACCATTTTGGGGGGTCCCTATAATAAGGATTATAGTATTTTGGGGTCTATATTGGGGGTCCCCCTATTTGGGGAAACTACCATATATATGTGTATATATATATATACACATAAGTGCCCCTAGACTATACATGGTATTGCGCAGATGCCAAGAATGCTCTTTGAGCTTTCAAGCGATGAACAGTGATGAAAACACCACCCAAGCCTGGACCCAGACGAACTCTAGTTTTGCATGCATCCTCTACTGTGTCATCCCGATGGTATCTGTATGACAAGCCTATACGAACGGCCAAGGTTAGTGCAACAACCCGCGTTTTTCCCGACACGTTGAAAGGTTGGGCAACATGTAATTGTTAAAGCAAATAAAAACAGTATACAAAAGTATGCAGGCATCATGACCGATGATACACCACCACGGCTTCAAGTTACATAAACCGAAGCCATAATGTCGCACTGGGACTACAGGACATACAGGGTCCGAATCCATTCTTCAGGGAACTGGAACCTCCGCCCTGCCACAACATAGGAGCATTCTGGAGGTCCATCCCCCCAGTCCCCCTAAGCTGCAACCACCCCAGCAGACCTACAACAGAAACAATTCCTTGGGGGTTATACTTTAGGAGGAACCCCCCCCACCCTGTAATAGGTATATAATAGGATTATAAGAGGACCCTAATATAATCCTTACAATCCCTCATAGTCACTATTACAGGGTGGTGGGGGGGGGTTCCATGCTCTTATATACTTTACTAAAAACCATACAGAAGTCCTTAAAGAGTCTAAACCCTAAACCCTAAATAGCAGCTTCCATTTTATTTCCCATTATCCCAATATAACCCCAATATAACCCTATAGTTCCTATATAAACCCTATACACCTCTACATTACAGGAAGCATCAGTTAGACCATCCCAGAAGCCGCTCCAGCTGCCCATCTGCTTTCACAAGGTAAGCATGGTGTCCTGCAAAGGAGACGTGGGGACGCAACCGGGAGTTATATAGGGAATATATATATATATATGACCTATAGTCCAAACTCCCTAAAAGGGGATTATGTAGGGGAATCTATAGGGCAGTACCATAGGGCTTATTAAGGGGGATACTAGGAGTTTAGACTTAGGCAGTATTTTCCAAAATGCTAGTTAGAGGGGACTGTAGGGCATTACCTGTGTATTACTTGAGTTTTTCCCATACCTAGGACCGAGGATGCAACTATGGTTCAAGGGTTCGGGCAGGTGTCAAGAAAGCGTCGCCCTGCTGATTCTGGTAAACTGCTACCTGCTTTTCGGGGCTTCAAAAGAGCCCTAAACCCTAAACCCTAAACCCTAAAACCCTAAACCCTAAAACCCTAAACCCTAAAACCCTAAACCCTAAAACCCTAAACCCTCAACCATAAAACCCTAAACACCTTAGGCTTACATGTTCAAGTGGTCTTCACCTTAACAGGGGGGACTTTCAGCGTCTGAGGCTTTCTGTAAAGATCACGAAGCTAGAGATCTCATGAAGCTTAAGGCCCGTCTAGTCTAAACCTGAGACCCTACAACCTTCACCCCCGAATCATAAAACTTGCACTACTAAATCCTAGACCTTGAACGAGGCATATCCCTACAGACTTACCTGTACACCACTTTTGTAGCACTAGCACCGCCTCCGGAAGAGATGTCAAGCACGGGAGGAACCTGGGCAGTGTTGTCAAAAAATGGTAACTGCCGTGATTTTAAAATCTAAAGGTCTCGAAATGGAAGGTTCCAGTTTCGAGAAAGCCCATATGGGTACCCTAAGCCCTAAACCCTCAACCCCTTTGGGTGTGGGAAGCCCATCCTCCTCCGAAATCTTACCTTTCACCTGTTGCACTCGCTTCTTTGCGAGCAAACTCTTTCGGGAGTCGTTTAGGGTTTAGGGTTTGTTGCGTGTCATGACTGTGTATCCCAGGACCTGCAGTGATCGAGGCCAATGCATCCGAGTTTAGGGTGAGTTGGGCCTTAGGACATGACAGAATGGTAGGGATGTCATCACCCCTTAAAAGACTGGGTTGCCGTTAAGGAACTTAAATTAAGTTACTATATTGGGGAAACGCTATTTTTTCTATATATACCCATTATGGTAACTTAATTTAAGTTCCTTAACAGCAACCCAGAAGAGTGATCCTGGGTGTTGTAGGATCCAAGTCCAAGGGTCCCCAGTCAGAGCCCGGAATTTTGATGACATGTCTAACCCAGGTAAATCTCACCAAAGTCGCAAGACCCAATGAAACTCTACACACTTCTAAAAGAGTAGTGTTTTTTGGTGGTTAAACCTAGTAAGATATTCCTTATATAAATACTCTACCCAAAAGGAGGATATAATCTTACTCTATATTGCGTACCATAGTATCCCCAAATAAAATACTACTCAAAGGATCTGTAGAGCCCTTCAGCGTGGCTGCAGCCGAAGGGACAAATCGCAGCAAATGCGCGAGGCCTTGCAGCAGAATCGACCGGCTTGGAGACGTAGACAGCAACCTCCTCTTAGAGGTTTAGGGTTTAGGAGTATGTTTTCGTTTATACGAACATGCTTACGTCGCCGGAGCTTTTAAGTCTACAGGGTCGAAGGTACGAGGGTATACCAGGATCATGTGAGCTAGTCTAAACTCCTAGTATCCCCCTTAATAAGCCCTATAGTAGTCCCCTATATAATCCCCTACATAACCCCCTTAAGGAGTTTAGACTATAGCTCACATACCCTAAACCGTAAACCCTAAAACCCGAAACCCTAAACCTATTAAAGTAGTTTCCATGTTCTTTTCCATTATCCCCAATATAACCACAATATAATCCCTTACATAACCCCCTTTGGCTCATGTAGCGAGGGCCAAAGGCTTGAAGGTGGTAGGACTGTGGCTCTGGGTGGTCAAGGCTTAGGTTTAGGGCTGTCATCCAGCTTTATCAAGGTTTTTCATGGTTCTGTTTAGGGTTTAGGGTTTAGGATTTAGGGTTTGGGGTTTATGGTTTTCAGGGTTCTGAAAGCTTCGCGCGGTTTGGTATGCTTTGCAGGGATTGTTCTGGGTTGAGGGCTTCAAAACAGAGAATTTACTGTTGCTGTGGTTTATAATGTCGAGAAGGTGATGCTTATCAGGTGTTGAACGGTCAGAACCCTGTTGCAATCCGGGCGGCTTAGGAATCAGTCCTGCTTGCAAGTCCTAAACCCTAAACCCTAAACCCTAACACCCTAAACCCTAAAACACTAAAACCTAAACCCTATAAAACCCTAACCCCTAAACCCTAACCTATAAAACTCTCAACTACAGTTGAGCTACCTTGCTGGGATTTCAATGACCGGTCATTTTCGGGGCCCGAATGAAGATGCAATATTACGAGGAGGTTGGGGTTTAGGGTTTAGGGTTTAGGGCCAAACTTGGGGGACTCTTTTAGGGTCATAGGGGAGGGCAGTATCCAAGGTTTGGTGCTTGGCATCCAAGCTCCGCGTCATAGAAGATTGCTCGCTATACAGGGCTGACCATCACCCTATACCCTAAACCCTAAGCCCTGAACCATTTAGGGTTTAGAGTAAAGTTTTTGCTGGGCTGAAACAAAGTGTTTAATTGACATGTCCTCAAACTAGGCTAGCCGAGAAGACGCTCAACCAAGCCTGATCACACAAAGATTTGCAACACAAAACTCCGTGCCAATCAACTGGCTGCAGTCTTTGAAGTTGATGGTGGAATTTAACTTGAAACCGAAATCACTTGATCTCGTAATTTCTCAAAGCGAAGGGGATGAAACCATGGCCATCGTGTCCCACCCAAACTCAAGGTAGCTGCTGCGCCTAATCACTAGCTCATTCATTTCGAGTTGACTTCGATGCGTAATTCGAAGACCTAAAGACACTACATCTTCTTGTATCTGGTACCTCTCTTGAAAGAATTAAATAACCGCATGTACTCTGAACCTGAGATGGGATCAACATATACACAGAACTTCGTTGTGCCCCTACTGCTCGCTGCCATAACCATACAGTGTCCGAAGGTCATAGCTCTTGTGCAAGCAACAACAATATCAAGCCAGAATCCGCAGGCTAGCATGCGGGTCAGTTCGCTGATCAGCGCGCAAAACCCTTTCTTGCACCCCCTAACCCTAAGGGCCCAAGTACCTAATAACCATATACTTACCCAAAACCTGTATTTTAATTACTTTTACCCAAACCCTAGTACCAAATATTGGGTACATGGACCCTTAGGGTAACATTTCCACAGTCTGCACTTGAAGCCGCCGGAATGGCTGCAACTCTCAGCTCCTCAGCCACTGAAGGCGGGTTTCAAAGAACGAGTTGGAAGGGCTGCGTGCTTTGCTGGGTTGCTGTTAAGGAACTTAAGTTAAATTAAGTTACCATAATGGGTATATATAGTAATTAATAGGGTTTCCCCAATATAGTAACTTAATTTAAGTTCCTTAACAGCAACCCAGATTGCTCAAGGCGGGCGGAGGCAGCGGCGCATGTTCTGGCTCTTCACTCCGCTCCAGTGAACTGGAAGAAGAGCTTGCTCCTCATCTCTTCCTTGCCCGCTTGCTGAGAATGAGCTCAGTCAAGGAGTCGGTAGTGCATCGTCCCACATCCTGCAGTCCCTTAAAAAAGAGGTCAGGTGCTCAGGAATCTTGAGTACCTGACCTCATTTGTGAGGGACTGCATGATCCGGGACGATGGATCACCGACTCTTTCACTGAGCAGGATGTTGCAGCCACAGCGTTTTCTGATTCACCTTCTCCTGGAGGTATAGGGCAACTTCCCTTACAAGACTACCGTTGCAAAGGATTCTAATCAGACAAGCGATGTACTCAGTCAAGTGCTTGGATTCGTCTGTCGGCGCATCGTACATTCGTACATGCCTTCCCCCGGTCTGCAAGCAAAGTGGAAAAACCTGAGATCCGAAAACCCTTTCAACAGGGGATGCCATGGGAAAGAACTGGTGAACCCACGCGGGATCTCTTCCTGCATGCTGGCAGCAGGCGAAAAAACCGGCAAATTTGATCCTCTTCAAGGCGTGCACATGATCCCAAAGATTGTCAAGATCTATCATCCGTCCATCCCTGGACTCCATGCAATGTGCTCGCTCCTCGTGGGAGTACGCCCCATGACCAAGGAAGGAAAAACATGACGTGCTGGTTGTCTTCCCATCCATCACACCACTGATGGAAATGTAGCCTGGCTTGCTGAAATGTCCGGTCGTCCGAACGTTCGTACTCACAGGCTTCCCGTCTCCTCACATCATCTGCCACGCCAGGCAGGTTCTTATCATCATCATCATCATCATCATCATTATCATCATCATCATCATCACCGTAAAGGCTGTTGGCCAGCAGACAAATGTGCCAAAGGTGCGTTCTATCCTTCGGTGCTGCCGGAAGCTCTTCATGGCTCATGCTCCCAGTTAGAGGCTTCAGACTGGTAACCTCCGTGCTAGGAACAAAGCTATGTTGGATGTGACTATGCAGCATCATGCCAAGAACTAAGCTGTGGTTAATCTGACTAATTAATGAGACTCATTCCAGGAAGAATGCTCAGTCTAATATTCATACCAAGGAGCAGCCCCTGTTTAATCTGCACAAGCTGGTACATAATCCCTTTGTGCACCAGGGCACATCACGCTGGGCCTGGCAACTTAGGTTCCAATCATCCAGCTGGTGTCTCTGAGGAAGCTCGAAAGCTGACAAACACAACGCAAAGCTTTTACCAAAAGGAGAATCATGGACCCTTGGCTGTTTGTGAAGTCACAGCTTGAGGATTTAGGGTTTAGGGTTCAGGGTCTACGGTTTAGGGGGTTGTGAAGTCACAGCTTGAGGATTTAGGATGTAGAAAGTAAAAAAGAGGTTGAGTCAACACCCTGAGGCCCCCCAAACCCCAACCTTAAACACTAATGTAAAGCCTGAACAATTACCAACAGGCATTTGCTGTTTAGTTGAGCTACCCTCGACAAGAATTGTATAAGGAATGCACCACCATAGCATGGGCAATCCTCCGATTACAAAACCCCTGAGGGAACCCAGTTTCCAGGTCCTGTCCCAAGCTCTTTCCAACTTGACTTCATTAGGGAGTGAGAATCCCCAAGCCGTGAACCGTGGACGATCTTTACATAACCCTATAAACCCCTTTAGGGCACTGTATTGCCCCTCCCGTCCCCTCCCGCCTCTGCCATCGCCTTGGACCAGGCCTTCGCTTGGCACAGGCCCCCCTCTGGCCAGAGCCAATCATCAGCTTACCATCAATACCTTAGGCGAGAGAGCTTGCCAACAGTATCGTATTAATGCATGTTTAAGTTTAAGGGCGAAATAGGACATGACATGAGATGGAGACTGGTACTATGAAGTTGTTATTGTGGTTCAGGGTTTGGGGCTCTCTCGAATTAGCAGGCCGTTAGGGACCCACGCGATATGTGGGGACCACACGAGGAGTACAGGGATGGCAGCTTATTTTAAGTTCCTTACAGCAAACCAGTGTAAGGTCCAGCGCTTAAGGACTTGAACATTTGGAATATGTGGGCTATAGATGTTCATACGCGGAACACAGAGGAAGCCTGAGCAGTTGAAGGATTCTTTTAAAATTGCCGACCGGGTAGTTTGCAAAGTCCAAATCGATGTTGACAGCGCCATTAACTGTAAACCCTCAAGCCTGGCCGATCGTGCAATCTTTCAAACCAGCGTAGGTTTGAGCAGGCGACCCTGACTCATCTGAATATTGGGGTAGATAAAGCTTAGGCAGGTACATATGCACATATATATATATATACATTTTTTTATATATACATGTTACATAACAATCGTATCATTTTCGTTTAACAGGACCGCGGAACAATTTTTTCTCCTGATCATAACTGAGTTTTCACGACCTAGGACGAGGAAATCCAAAAGAATCCTCCTGGCCGTGGATCCATTATTCTACACTTTGAGAGCTTGTTTTCTACCATTCATTGCAGCATACTGCTAAGCAGGCAGATGGAATGAAAGGTCCTGACACAATTTTCCCCATCGAGCTGAGGAATTCGGAGAATGTTCCAAGTCACAATTCGCGCGAGCTGTTACATGCCTCATACTATGCTGTGATAGCCTGTTCGACCTCGGGTACATTGTACTAAGCTTGCATGCAGATATTCGTCATTGTGCAAGCTTCTACACGCTCTTCCGAGGGAACCAGTTCGCTAAGCAGCGGGATGTTAGTCCACAAGAACCGTATGAAAATCTAGGACATCGCTTCTCAGCAAGAACAATGCAGGCCTGGGTGCTGATGTTGTCGGCCACAAGTGGTTCGCAGAGTCAGCGCATGGGCGCGCGGAAAGCAACACGCACGGAAAGCAACAAGAACTGTAGATAACAAGACCAACAAAACTCTGCTGAGGCAGTTAGTTAATGAATAAGCCAACCTGTGTCCACCACGAAGCTTTGCACGACGACCTGAAAGGGTAAATAGCATCCAAGGCTTAGCATGGTGCTTCCTGACTTGCAGACGCGAAAGAGCCCGCTTTCGGGGGCAGACA